TTTCTTTTCAGGTAATTATAATCTATAAGGCTCGCTTGATCTTATTATCAGTAAGTGATTTCTCAACGATATAACGCTTCACTCTCAGAGGCAGATGATGTTGTATAGGTACATACTTTAAACGATAAATAAATTAAATTATATTGCACTTCATACATGCCTGTTACAATAAAGGAACTGTTTATTAAACTACAAGATATTAGACATTCTAAAAATCTTGTCTCGTGTATATGCTTTGTAATTTATGGTACTTTTTCACGTAATATATAAATTTTTACTTTCTATTTTACAAGAATTACTTAATATTAAATAAAAGCAGTTCATAATATATGTGATTGAAATTCGCTGAAAGTATTATTGAAAGATATCTGAAGAGCCAGTAGTGTGTAGTTTTGTTCGTCAATCCATACTTCCCCGGTCACTGTTGGTATGTAATTGACTACATTCAGCATTATTAGTAAGAGTGATAAATTTGAAAAACGTGAGTATAACAGGAACATGTTAAATGAACCCAGCATTCAATATGTTAGTGGTTTAGGTCCCAGTTTGTTTTGTCTTGTTAGAGAAACAATCCCTAACATTAACTATACAGTCTCTTCACGCACGTTGTCACATACATATGTAGTTATCTAACAATGCTTTGACATCGGTTAGGGATAGATTACAGCTCAAGATTCGAAGACAACCGTCATTAGCGCTGTAAATATTTGAAATATAATACTTCCAGATCGATATTTATATCAAACTAGCTTTCCGCCCGCAGCTTCGCCCGCGTAGAATTCGGTTATATCGCGTTCCCAAGAGAACCTTTCAAAAGTCTGGGATAAAAACTATCCTATGTTCTTTCTCAAGGTTAACTCTATCTCTGTACCAAATTTCATTAAAATCATTTCAGTGGTTTAGGCGTGAAAGCGTAACAGACAGACAGAGTTACTTTCGCATTTATAATATTAGTAGGGATTTTCAATACCTATTGTTTTAGCTGGTGGTGATCGCGTGTGTGACGTCACCCACTTTGATTTAACAACATCGACCTCGGATACAATAAAATATCGGATATCAATCATTATAGTATTAAATTGTAATCTGTACCGCGTTAAATATAATTAACAGACGCCCACGCTCCTCACGGGACGTATGTATTGACTGAGTGGCTGTAATCATTGTTTGGATACAGGAGCGTGGCGCGGGTTCAAAATCCTATATCAAACAATCAATTTCAATTAATACAACATATCCATATGAGTAGTTGTACCCAATTATTCGTCCTTATATCATCTTCTTCAAGAAAAACCTTCTTCATCTGCTATACCATCCATCATTATAACACGATCTGTTTATACATAGATACGAAGAGTGGAAAAAAAAATCAATACAGGAATTAACAAAAAACTATCATTAGTGTTACTGTGACAGATTTTGTTTACAAAAAGTCTATTAAAGAGTGCTTTTAATACATACATATTTAATTTAAATAATGGTTATTTCACATAATACATCTTGTCGTTAATATTTATTATTTCACAAAAATATGTATATTTAAATAATTTCATAAATACGCGTAGTAATTCGATTAATATTAGTTTCATTTAAATGAATACTCGCGAAAGTCTTAGATTTCATTATATCATGTCATCATTAATCATGACATGTCCATCAAAGCCTCTCTGAAACATAATTGTGAGCAGCACAATATATAATGCACGAGCTGTGTTCAGTGACTGTTAAAACTAATTCTATTTTTCATATACTTCACAAACGATAAAACTATTGATATATTTAACACTAATCTTCTATCTTCTTCTCCTATCTATATATATAAAAATGGATTGCTGTTCCTTAGTCTCGCTAAAACTCGAGAACAGTTGAACGGATTTATCTTATCTTAGTCTTGAAATGTTCGTGGAGGTTCAGGGAAGGTATAAAAGCTGACAAAAATTGATTAATTACTGGGAAAACCATAAAAACAGTCCTTTTCTATTTCCCATACAAAAGTTTTTTTTTGACATTAGATTTGACAACTAACTAATATGTCAATCAGTCTGTCGCACTTCAAAACACGGAGATTTATGGCTAACAGGTAAACTACAAAAATATAAATAAAAAAACGTAATAGATATTTCTTGATTATAGGGCAATACGAAGTTCGCCAGGTCTTCTAGTAATTCATATAAACCTTTTTTTTACTTTAACTGATGATAGAATTATTTATATGTAATGAAGTTATACATACAATGAAGTTAATTTCTTTATATTATATTACATTTGACTCGACCTTCGGAATCAAGTTTGACGATTTATGATACAATAGGAGGTTTAACTGTAGAGACTCTCGCTTGTTTATCAAATAATTGTAAACGCAATATAGAATTATATGTAAATATAATTAATACAATGTATATATATGTGTTACGTATTCAAAGGTTCCATCTGTTTATATCATTGCGGCCCGTGGAGGCATCCCTCGAAGCCTTCCTATGACTACGTTAGGGCATTCAACGGCTTCAGTGAAAGACTTTCGTCATTATCTCTTAGTAAATTCCCTCGCGAATCCATAAACTCTAAATATTTTCAGTTCATTCCGCGTCGCTCCGTATTTAATGTTAACGACTCTAACACAGTAACAACTAATATATTTGGTAGGTTTGAACTCTGTGTCTATGTGTGTGTGTTGTATCTCAGCTGCACCGTCTGTGTGTGTGTGTGCGTGTGCTCGTAGCCCCGATGTCAGACCGAGCTGGCCGCCTCAGTCTGCTACGCGTCCCGGGAGCGGACGGTCGTAGGCCGTAGACGGTCTACGGCCACCGGCTACGGCACCCGTGCTACGGATATTATTAGGGTTCCGCAGGCACTAACATCATATATAGGAGAAGACCTCAGCTGTGACGGAACTATAGAATGTTGAAAGTTTCAAGTGTGTCAGTAGTCAGTAGTCAGTGATAGAATTGATTGTGAAGGTGTTCGTACGTATTGAATGAGGGTAATGGATTGAAGCGGGGCCGCGTGCGGGACTATGATAATGAATCGATTCCACTACAAACATGACCTGTCCTACACACGCACACACACACACACTCACACCGTCCGCGGTCACCCGCGTGTTACATTATCAGTAGTTTCACTATCTAAACGTTTTGTTCCCGTTCCTATATATTCTCTGTTAGTGTACGTCACGGGATGAGTCTGTTCTTTGTTATTTAAAAATTTCGTCAGTCATCCGTCGGGACCCGGGAGGATTCTCAATTTAATTTGACAATTACTTTTATGTTTTATAAAGTTACTTTTTATATATCTAGTAGGTAATTAAATATATAAATTATTAAAGAACTTAAGAGTGCTTTTGTCTGTTCGTTTCCTTCGTTCATATATATTATATTAATTTCTTAATTCCAACTCGTCAGAGGTTGTCCGTTCGTGAGTCGTCTGTCTTTGTGAGGAGTCAGTCAGTACCGTGGTGATGAATGTATTACAACGTGTATCTATAGAAACAGTGGGTTAATAGGTTCATCGGTGAAGGAGCAGCCTCCACACGGATTCAATACATGTTCTGTTGCCTGGAGTCGGCTGCTCACAATCTATATACACACACGCACATATTAAATTGCTTCAGCTCATAAAGGTTACGCATTATATTCAATGACTTTGTCTTGATACAGCTAGTTCCAGTGGACTCCAAGATGAATACAGCCTTTTTAATGTTGATCTCTCTTTCTTTTGTCTTATATATATGCCGTAACATTTTCAAGATTATATTCATGTTATAATATTAAAAAGCATGTAACATGCCTTTCATTTGTGTCTAAAGTATCAAAAATATATTGTATATAATCTGATGAAACGAAATTAAATATTAAAGTAATTACTCAGGACGTGTTATTAAACCGTATCTTCCTGACTCGTTATGTGATCTTTCTTTGTTAGCTCGCCTCGCTCCTACTTCATGAAGTTTGACAACATTCCAGAAACGAGAAGACAGCTCTCAAAGTGATCGTTAAACTGAAACGGTTTATATTATCATATGTTAATTCTATATCATATATTTTTCAATATAAGTTTGTCATAGTCTATAATTTTACGTTGACTTCCCGATATTAATTGCTATTTCCAGTCATCATTTCCTCAAACAATAATACAATATCTATGACCCAGTTCTTGCAATACCGTTCATACATACACATAACTCATATTAGGTATCGTTATATGTTACAGGAACAGTCTGTCTGTCTGTTATTGACGGCTGAGTTGTTTTAACTTGTATAATTAACTGTTAGTGAAACTCACAAAGGTAGTATTCATGTGTTCTAACGAGCCGCTTCTTCACCAACCTCTACCTCCCGCATGCCCTTCGTCACACTAGAGTATCGTGTCATATTGTAATCGTTTCCTCAATACTAACTTTTATTTTTTCATATATATCTACTAAACTGTTTTCCGTCTGTCACTCGTCATAGTGACGTCATCATCTTCAATATATTGGTGTGATGAGGGATAATGAACAACACACATACCTATGATTACTGGAGACCTTGCTTAGAAATAAAAATGTTGAAACAAGTATACATAACGAAGTATTCAATGTAACAAATTATAGTGTATGATATGAGTGGCTTGTCTTCAGAGAAGTTAATATTATGTGACGTCACTGATGGATATCAGCCAGCTTCTCGTGTGTAGTGGATAATAGAGAGTACTAGAACTAATCTTCATCTAATATAGAAGAAGCTGACACCAGCCTGTCCCCGACATTATACGAACACAACATAATGCTCTTGTATTTGTTCTCGCTCTAAATGTAAATTATTTTCGCCTCCATCGTAACATTAAAGCTCCGCGGATTCTTTTTGTTGTTGAATTAACATAATGTTGTAATTATCTATTCAGAGTGTTATAACATTTTAAATGTTGGACTTTTTGTCGCGATCCATACGTATGTATATATACATATATATACTTATACCTTGTGTTGTGAGAACTTTTGTTATCTTAGAATCTATTTTCTGATGTCATTCGACCGTCCCGAGTCTAATAAACAGATAGTAATCTCATCCAACTTCCAAGCGTCGTTCTGCTCCTGTTTGATTCAGCTCCCTAATTCTTCTTTGTTCGATACACAGTCATCCCAGCATCCGTGTCATATAATAACCTTCGCGGGACTCTGTGCTCTCTGTGTGAGTGTCAGAGATCAGTTTCCCGTGTCATGTTAGTGTAATATGTGCTGCTCATCGTACTTTATACTGATAGTCTCAATATTCTCGTCTGTCTGTCATATTGTTCGTGTTTTTCTTCTCACTCTCCACTCTTCGTCTTTTGATATTTTATCTTAATAATATTTTTTCATTCGTTCGCATGCCAAGTTCAATTAAACACGACCTTGTAACATTGATTTATTATAAAACTGTTATGATATTTGATACTAATGTTAGCTTTCTGTTTACAACTTATTGTAATACAATTATAGTAATATATTGGAACTATGTTGTGTGACCTAGTGTAGTCTGTGTGCTATGTTCAGTGTTCATTATAATAATATTTATTTCATTTGAGTTGAGCAGCAGTCACCCGCCAAGGGCAGACAGACTCCGGTCAGTAATTGTTGTGGAAGTGGAAAGATTTGTTGCACGTGAATGACGACACAACAACACACAACCAAACACTCATACCAAATTAATTTACTATATTTTTTTTACTTATTTTCGTTTCAATGTTAATGCGGTGATGATATTTAAATTCTGTTTCAATTGAGGTGTATGATATTATAGATGAGATAGGCGTCTATTTTGTTAGATGACAGTCAGGAAGTAGAAAAAACAAAACGGGTGATGTTTCTATAGAATCCAATTAAAATATATTTTTCTCACAAACTGTATTCAATAAGTATATTTATTTTCACAATATTCATTTCTATTACGTTGAGCGTTTGTTCCCGAGCGCTAGTTCTTCACGGCAACATTTCAAAGCGCTCCTCTTAATGAGCGAACAGTTCCAGCGCTATTCATGCGTTCGGATTAAATTTACAATTTATAAACCTTCAACTAAACTCGGAATCAGGTCACTCGTTCGATTTCAGCAACAAATAAATTAAACACGAACGATCTCACCACTCGCGTCCATAACAAATGAGATGCGACTTCCACGTACATTATTTTGATCCGTGTCGCGTGTACGTGTGTAGCTCATTAGTCATTACCCTAGTTGTGTAGTTCGTCAGACGGAGGGCTGACCGCGAGTGACGTCACGTGTGGCCACAGTGACAGTGACAGTGCCATGAGCCGGCCACCGGTGGCAGTCGGTGGTGAGCTGTGGTAGCGGACGTACGGCGGTGTAGTGATGCGTGCGTGGAGCGAGTGTTATGTACGGTGACCATGGGCATCATCATAGGGACCTGCGTGCCGGACGCCGAGCCCGACTCAGCGTACGGACCCCAGCATCACCGGCCGCCCAGGAGGATACTGTACGGTAAACAACTGGAGAGATGATCACTACAATGTACCATCATCCTCGTCACCATATAATAGATATTTATAATAGTTTCTCCATTGAACGACAAGGTCTTCAAGTGTTTAACGTAAAGCAATCTAAATAAGAAGATTGTTGAACACAAAATAATTGATTCCTAACAAAACTAATTACTGCGCCTCGGTCGTTGCAATTATAAAAATGAGGAAATTTAAAAGTTTTCTCATAAAAACGGTTCTCAAGTTTGTAGGATTTTTCTCTAAACAACCACAGAGCCAAAGAAGTTGAATGGAATATTTGAATATGAAAGAGTTAATTTAAAGCAGAAAGTACTCTCGTATTATAAGTTAGATGTGAACTCATTTCGTATTAATAAAATCTGGCAATGGTTGTTTTTTATAAATGTTATAAAGACGTCGAATGCAGCTAATGGAAGGTATTCACCTTGACTCCATAAAAAGGCTTCCAAGGCGATTGTACCAGGGCACCATATCGGTGTTATAATTAGCCATTGCTTCTCCCATCACGTAACGACTGCCTGACTTACAATCCACCACCACGCGTACATTCGCAGATTTCCAGATTCAATAAGCTCCTGATAGGTAAAGGGCATCCCATAACCTCATTAGAGTGTGCGGTGTGGCGCTAACATGCGAACACTTGTGGAGTATGGTTCTGATTGATACATAAACATACATACATAAAAGTTTACAAATTGTTATATATGTTGTTTAAATAATATAATAGTTTAAGCTGTACCTTTTCTGTTGACGCGTAAATAAAACTAATTTAAACATTTTACTCCAAATGATTTCATAATAATTGTACGTGTATTATTTAAATGCAAAAAAACACTCTAATTAATAATTTCGGTAATAAAAATTACTATACACAATCTTGTTCCCTATTTCCACTTTCTAGTAAGTCGGAAATATCACTTGTCTGAAAAACTAAAAGTGACAAATAAAAGCCAAAAATATTGAGTCGTGTCGTTGACCTCTCAGCAGTACGTACGTCATATATTATATTTGAACTCAAACACGGACAAACAAACAGAACTATTAATACATGAACGTGTCTTATATATGTTATTATTGGTATAAATCATATTAAGGTGAAGTCACGATATTTTTCTCATTAGATATTGAGTCATGAGGAAAAACATAACGGATTATTATTAACTAACTATATTATAGTATGATATGTATAAGAAATAATAATCTAGCTTTAATTGGTCTTCATTAGGACTTAAGAACACCTTAGATAAAAAATTATAATTTTTAAACTCAGTACTTCACAAAGTTATAACCCTGTAGACGTATATATGTATAACAAAACCCATTTATAGTGAGCCGAAGGTCACATCCGCCCCTGTTTTAATGGAGTCAATGTTTTTTTACTTGAATTTGCTTACATTTTAAAATGTTAATAGTGTTTGAAAAATAGCAATTACTACAGTCACGTTCGTACAGACGTGATCGATCGCGTGGACACAGCGCTAATTATATATAACGCTTTAAATAGGAAAACCGTACTTATTAAAACAGAGGAAATGTATTAAAGGGACATCAATTGTGGTCCAACTTTATTTCATTAGTAAGATTCTTTGGTATACCCAAATATAAGTACACGGAGCCCGTGCTCGGCTGGTCGATGTTCTGATGATGAGGGGCGGCCATTTGGTTCATGTTGCACATTGAACACATGGGCATGAAGGGTATCATGGGCATGAGGCAGGGCTTGGGGCAGCGGGGCCTCGTGACGCAGGGCCGGCGGGTCGTGGTCGTGGTCGTGGTGGTTGTGGTCGTGGTCTCCGGCTCGCCCGTTAACTTCACGGGAGTAGTCTCACACTCGTCCTCACACAACGGGAGGCAGTCATCTAGATTATGGTCGAATTGAGTCTCATTAATTTGATTGAAACGCTGGAAATTTCTTTGAACAATTAATGAAAACTATTTGTATGAACCCTGAGGTATATGAAATTGTTTTAGTGTCGTCTCGCTCAAGTTATTCATTCGAAAACAAACTAGCAAGCTCTCTTATGTATCTGATGTTGTTAGTTGTAACATTTAAAGCAATAGCGAGTGTTAGAGGCTCCTACATTGTCATTGATCCTCAACCAGTCGTCAATCAGTTCTTAATAAGAATCTGTTTAGTCGTCACTCGTACTGTCTGTCATAGTGTCAATTAATATCCTATTAATCAGCTGACTTAAGAGTCTTCAAAGTAATTAATAGGTCCGTAGGAAGGCACTTAACGGATTATGTCTACTGTGATACTTCTCTGATTGATAAGAACTTTCAAAGTTAGAATCTATTATAGTTAATATCATTTGCGTTGAATGAACTGATAAGTCGAGAGATCTAACGCTGTTCCCTCATTACTTTACATTTATTTCACTCACTGTTTGAATATTCAACCCTATATTTTGGGACGAAAACAAATTTGAATTGATTCCGATATTTTAACATTTGGGCAGACAATGTACTGTAGATACGATACAAGACTAATCTATCATGTAGCTTCTTTTCCTGGTGCTACTACATATAACATCAAGTAGTGCACAGCTTACCTTGAGTGGTCCGTGTTTCCTGTTGTTCCTGCTGCTCGTTGTCGCTCTCAACCTGTCCCTCTTTCTTTATTTGTATGGTGGGTCCTCCCTCGACCCACTCCCGTCTCCGCTCCTTACACTCCTCACACATGGCGCAGTACACCTCCACCAGCTCAGGGTCCTCCGTGTTCTCTCTGCACCTCCGGCATGAGGTCCGACAGTCTATGTCACAGGAACTGAGCTGCAGCAACCAATACACGCCCACGACAGCCAGCAATCTATAACTGTACATATAGTTTTTCTCAATGTATCTATACATTACAAGTTCTAAGTTTATACAATGAAGAAGATTATTATGATTAGTTCAATTGTTATAACGTGTAATATTTTTTTGTACATTTCGACTTTTTATACGTCCTCTTATTTGATGACCTCTCACTCGCCTCCTAATATCGCCGAGTAGTCGTTAATGATTCGATGTTAAAAAGAAATGATCGTAAACATTTTTAATTATTATAACTGTTTTATGTATCCGTCTATCGTGTTGTTATCAGTCCCTGTGATCATAATCAGTTTATGTCGGCTCGTTTTGTTCGTTATACTAATGGTATTGTTTTTTTCATGCTTTCTTTCCCTTAATTTAACACGATACTACACTGTGCGGTCATAATATACATACATAACAATATTAATTTGTTTAATGTTACGCTTGACGCAATTATACTCTACAAAATTTTTTGAATATCAAAGTACATTTTACGTTTATTTTCTTGGAATCAATCTCAAAGATTAAACTGCATTTTTTATCGTGCCTTGTAATAAAGTTAAGTTATGAATAAAGTCGAGGCTCACCAGCAAAATCATTCTATTGTTATCAAATTATTTTAAATATGATTAAAAAAACGAAATAATATAAAGAATATCGTGAAGAACTTTTTATATAGATTGTGATGGATAGCCAATTCAGCTGAAGGTTAAAGTTCAGACCTGGTTCACTGAATCCAACGTCGAGACAGTTCATTACTAGCATTGTTACTGAGAGAAGGGAATAGAAAGGGATTACTCTAGCGAGACTTATTGCTGACCAATTTGTACAGTATCAGCGACTGTAGACTAAGAAGCTTAACTCTTTGTACTCAATACTACCATCAGCCTTCCACTAAAACCGATCCTCGTAAACTGTACCTAATATGCAGTGCCTCTGCAACACTACACTTCAATATATTATGCAATAATTTTATATTTGCAATACATTGAAGCTAGATTGCAAAATATAGTTTTATAACTTTATTTAATAGACCCGTTATATTGGTACTTCAATATGAATAAAGTGGAAATATTGATTAAGTGATTAGGAAACAGATTTATAAATGAAATAAAGTCCTTATATTAAGATCTATCGAGTATCACTCACCCCAGTGTCATATTAAACGATGGCAGTAAGTTTCTTTAAATTCATAGTTCCTCGTAAAAGTCTGGAATATATTTTCTTTGTCTACAATGAAGATATCTTTATATAATCACTGAGTGAGATGTGTTTTGATCAACATTCTGTTTTATTTCCGCCTCGTGTCTTAATCCTATTTGTTTCAGAGCGTTATTTGAATTTGATGAATATTTGAGAACACCAGCTCGGAGTCGTTCTGATGGAATGTCGTTAAATTTACATTTATGCATTTTATATTTTCATTGTTATACAAAAGAATTAAACTTTTTAAAACATACATTTGCAAGTCCACAAATATTGATAGATTTGAGCGATAAAGATGTCATTGAAATATTTTGAATTAATTTATTTAAATTGAAATGAATGTAGCATTATAATTTTATGGATGCGAAGAGAATTCGAAACTGTGAGTTCCGGCGTTCATGTTAAACGTGACATATGTGTGAACTGCACTTTATTAATATACATTTAATGGGAGTGTTATGTTATTACCTCTGAAAGGTTTAAAAATTAATCAAACTATCTTATCTATTAAATATTGTATAATATATTTATATTTAATATCAATAATTATTAGGTCACAACTCACAAAATCTTGATGATCGCGCCAAACGAAAGTCGACATATAGATTAATAAATTTAGAAAATCTTCATCGAGGAGGCATTGAGAGATATGTGTGAGACGAGACGGACATACATACAGCGTAATAGAAATGTAGACCCAAAGTTTATACAGTCGGTCCTGATACGTTATCCTGGTGATTGTTTTTTGTTCCACAAGAACTCGGTGGTTGGTGCATAAAGCCATAAACTATATTCAAATAATAACTTATATTCCTTCAATAAAACCTAAACCTTCAGTACCTTTAGTACCTTTATTCATTTGATCAATCCTCATTTGTTCGTAGCTCCTGTGTATTGTATTCTCAGTCGGTGGTGGTGACGGCAGATGGTGGGGTCGGTGGTATTGATTACATAATAGCTGACACTCCATCGGTCGATACTCGGACCTGATGCGACCCGTCACTACATACTTTATGACACACACCAACAGTTACCGACGATCATTGTATTCAACACTAATTAATACCCTGACGATGACGGCGCCCGAGGGTCGTATAATGTTTATTCGCTAACATGGAACAATAAACACAAACATACTGTATACGGTTTGGTGATTTATATACGACATATTGTGAGACTCGAAGAAATTTTGTAAGAGTGACAACATTCAATACTTGTACCTATTTGTTCTGCCTTCCTTTTTCCAACAACTCCTACCACCCCATAGAATCCCTACCTCCTAGTGGGGGCACCATATACCCATATACCATCTAAGCTCCTTTTCCATTAGCCTTTTGTAACTTTTTCTAAGCTAACTGTACCATTGAATCAGACAAAAATAGAATAATGAAATGGAAATGTCTCTCTTTTGAAGTTGAACGGAAAATGACTATTCATTACTGAAACGTTTGAATTACTTTAGGTATTTTTACAAAGAAGTGAGTTTCCTTTGACGTCTGACTTATGAATACAATATTGTATACAGCTTGGACGTAGAGGGAAATGTTAGGAAAATACTGACTCGCAAAAAGGATAGCTAAATATACATTATTAATCAAAAACACTTGAACACTTGACAACCAACAAGAGTTGATTTTTCTTTGACTCAGAAACATTAATTAATCATTGAAGCTAGGAGAAAAAAATTCTTCGAAGAATTTTGTTCGACCTCACACAGTTACTGGACTGTAACATCTTTAAACTGAGTCGTTGTTATCACTCTGCGAGGTGATGATAAAGATACATATATGTAAATTTTAAATATATTGTACAATAATTAATACAATTTTTCCCACAAAATCTGAACATTGAACTCATATTTGTTATACAAATAATTGTAATGGAAATGGGAAAAGTTCTTTTTTGAATGAAAACCTATGAGCTGGTACTCAGTTCTCGTTGTGTTGTGTGTAACCGATCCTTCCAGTGTAGTGAGTGTTTGTCTTTATGTTCCAGGCATCAAATGTCCCGTGTGCAGCAAGTTCGTGTTGCCGGACGACATCGAGTGTCACCTCGTCATGTGTCTGACGCGACCGAGGCTCTCCTACAACGGTATGAGATATGACACACATACACACATACACACATACATACAGAGCTCACTATAGATACTAAGATTATAATAATGATACGTGTGTGTGTGTTTTCAGAGGACGTGCTGAGCGACTCGAAGGGCGAGTGTGTCATCTGTCTGGAGGAGCTGAGCGCCGGAGACACCATCGCGCGTCTGCCGTGCCTCTGTATCTACCACAAGGGGTGAGGAGATTACGAGCATATACATACACACACACACACACACTCTCACTTACACACACTCACACACACATTCACACACGAAGGCACGCGCACAGACATAAAGACGACTGCTACTAATACAAACATACCGTAACTTCATTAATTCTACTCTGTTGTAGTCTATTGGTTTTTCCTGAACAAACAACTAACTTCTTATGACTGAGAAAAACTATCACTTACCTTTTATCGATCGAAGTCATTTCTAATTTATTAAAGAAGTAAGCTAAGAACGAATGTTTTATACAAAAGTACATCACACTTTTTGTATTGTTTATTTTTGAAGTATGACAGTCATCGTGTTTGTATAAAGTCGTAATGTTCCTGTTCCAGGTGTATAGACCAATGGTTCGAGGTGAACCGGTCGTGCCCGGAGCACCCCGGCGACTAGTGGCGCGTGTCGCGAGTGATAGTTGACAGACGAACAGACTGCGGCCCTCGGCCTTGTACATATAAACATATGATAGTGAGATGTTTTATCGGTTAATGAATCAAATTAATATGGAGCCACGAGGGGACGGCGCGCTCCCCGGGCTTCGTTGAGTTTAGTTGATTTGTATAATATATTATAATGAGCGTGTACACCGTATTGTATATTTTGTATAGTGACGTCCGTTTGTGTTGCGAAGTCTAACCCGTCGCCCCGCCCGGCGAGCGACATACATATCTGTTTCTTAGCTTGTATAATATGATTTGATCTTTTTCATCTTGATAATAAAGTTGATTTGTTTCTAAATTTTCTATAATTGTTTTATTTTACTTTTTCCCTTATGACATATATTGAAATAACTTACAAAGATAATTACTACGTCATAGAAATAGGAAAGAGTCTTCTATCTGTCACTTTGTTTCACCAGCGTAGCCACGTGTGTAATGTCATCACAACAATAAATGTGGTTTTGTATAAATACAAACGACTGCATTTAAAAAAGCTCGAGCAGTTGCAGTGATCGGACCTCTTCATATAAAGGATTCGTCAAACTGTCTCCGAGGTTACCTCCAATATCGTGGAAGCCTATAGTGTGATCTAAGACTGTCACGAGTATTCATTTAAATTAAACTAATATCTTTCGGATTTACTACGCGTATTTTAATATTTTAAAAACTACATGCTCCCGACGTGTCGGCTACTTTTCAGCGACCGTGATCACGGACAGACGAGATGTCAATGTAAACAATAATACGCGTAGTAAGTTCGAAAAATATTAGTTTCATCCTGCAAACCTGACGACAACCAAGAACATAGACATCGGTGACGTCACTAATGCTGACGTCACTAAGTGCTAATGACTCCAACATATAATATTATGTATTTACTTATATGTTCATATTTATATATTGATTTTGTCGTCTTAGCATCTTAGAAAAAAAAATACTAATTGTTAATACATATTTAATTTTTTATAACTTATGTAATACTTTAGGATATAATTATTTTGTATTGTACAAAGTATTTCACGTTGAGACTGCTTTTCGAATTTATGTTATAGTGTAAATTCTCTTTTGGTCATAATTTTTGCATTATATTATCAAATTTTATAACATACTGTAACACTGTTGGATTGCCAAATGAAACAATAAATAAATAAATAAATATACATAGGATGATCTTCCTGGTTTTTAAAGATGTGGGAACTATTACTACAAGTGGCGTCCTCCGTGCCGTACTAATTATAATTTAATATAATCCTTAAAAATATTTTAATTACTGATCATAATTTATAAAAGAAAGTCGTGTTTGTTACAACACTTATAACTCGAGATCGGCTAGACCAATTTTCAAGGTTGTCTCCGCCCCGAATAGCAGAATAAATCTTAAAAACGAAAACTTAATGAAAACTCAAAGAAAACATGCAAAGGATCGAACCCGGGTCCCCAGGATCGATCGAACAGGGTTGTACCTGTTATTTGTCAATAATTTTTTTGTTTTGGTTATGTTCGTTCCGTTCAGAACAGACAAAGAGAACAAAGCCCATACAGCCATGTCTTTTGTATTTTGTATCTTTAATTATTTTTAAATGTCTTTATCTCCTTTTTATTCTAGACTCAAGTTTTTATGTCAGGTCTAAGCCATGTCTTCTTTTAATTTTCTTCTTAAATATTTTTTTAAATTTTAAGGCCGAAGCCATATCTTCTTTAAAATATTTTTTTTTGTCAAATTCTTGTTTTTTTTTACATTCCGTCTTTTTTCAATGTCAAGTCCTTGTAATGTCATTTTTAATACAATAATTAATTTGTGAAAATCGATATAACAGTCAAATTCTGAAAATAGCTGAAAACAAATATCTTAAACAAAACGAACAAATAAGTATTATTAGTCCGGTCAAATTAGACTTTCGAGGTTACATAAATTCCCACCAAGCTGAAAATCGGTAAGATTGTTTGAAATATCATTAAAAACAAAATTTGAAAGTTCCCCCATCTTTCCCCTTTAAGGAAAAAATTTTATTCAAGGTCAAAGGTAAACAAAATGAGTTTTTCGCGATTTTCAGCAAAACGGTAAGTTTTATCATAAAAATATTTCAGACAAAAATTGTAGGTCATAAAATTATCTACAAAGAATTAATTAATACTTTTTGTTCTACGAGCCACCGTTTTTGAGATATAACCATTCAAAAAGTTGTAATCGTCATAAAATGCATGAGTACGCCACGTATATGTATATCACCAAAAACATGTCTGTTAAAAAGGGGGCCAAGTTCCAATCGGCTAATTGTTTGCCTAAAAAAGGGTTGAAATCCAATCTAATGCCAAGTTTAGATGCACTTTGAAATCGATCATAATCATCTTCATCAACAGCATGATCCACTGGTAAACATTTGCCATTCCCAAGACTCGCCACCACACCCAGTCCTCTGCCTTCCACATCCAGCCACTACCCGCCACCTTATTCACGTCAGCGGTCCATCTGGCCGAAATTCACTTTACCATACACCCAACTTAAAATATGGTATAGTTGTGAAAATACGTAGGTGCTTGGTTAAAAATAACTAAAACTAGTTTTTGCCCGCGACTTCGTCCGCGTTAATTAATTAATTTAATTTCATTATTAGTAATATATGTATAGCTGACCGGGCGAACTCTATTCCGTCCTAGAAGCCATAAATAATCAGGTTTTTCCTGTTTCAATCGAACAGAATGATTGACATATTAGTTAGTTGTCAAATCTAATGTCAAAGAAAACATTTGTATGGGAAATAGAAAAGGGCTGTTTTTAGGGTTTTCCCGGAAATGGATCAATTTTTCTCACCTTTTAAACCTTCCCTGAACCTCTACGAACATTTCAAGACTAAGATAAGATAAATCCGTTCAGCCGTTCTCGAGTTTTAGCGAGACTAAGGAACAGCAATCCATTTTTATATATATATATATATATATAGAAGATTATAATACTTCTAAATTTGAACTTTTCAGGTTAATTTAATTATATAAATAATAAATTAATGATACAATTAATTAAGTGTTACGTACAGCACGAAAACCTGAAAGGTGTACATTTCCATAGTTGGTAAATGAATAGTAGAAAAGATATAGAGTGAATTTGTGCTTTTAACACACACAAGTAATCAATCAATAAGCAATATCAAAATTAATCCTTTAGCAAGTCAAATCAGTGATCCATTTAATCGTAATCGTAACCATATATAAGATATCAAGACATAAGTGTAGAAAGAAATAGAAAGAAATGACCATCGATTCCTTATTGACTTTCATTCATATATACTGCAGACAAAACAATATCGCGATTCAATTATACCGCTAGCGCCATCTATCGAAAGTAATTTATAACAATAGAAACCTGATTTTTTAGGTAAGCAATATTTAATTAAGTTATACACTGTGCATTATGTATACATGACAATACTTTATATCCCTTATATACAGGATGACTGGTGAATTACTATCGATACTTGAGGACGTGATATTTGACGATCATAGGTATATGACAAAATAAAAATTAATATAACATAAATATTAATAAACTTCTAAGTAAAGTTAACCAAAAGTTACGTAATTAATTACGCATCGTGTGAACACCCTACAGATTAGGTATACACACACACACACACACACGCTTGCGGCGGCGCGGTGTTGTATCAGCACGCCGCCGCACGCGTCCACACTTGGAACGTGTCCACACTTTATTTATTTATACGGAAATTTGGTCAAAAATTAAGTGCCTATTTTTTTACATAATTCGAATGAGAATCATGTACCGAGTATTCTCCTTAAATATTGATAGTAATTCACCAGTCATCCTGTATATCAGTTCTTAAGAAGCGCCTCATACTTTTTTCACAATAATATTAATTTAAAAATAAATTAACAAACAATAAATGGTATTTTTGTGAAAAAAACGTGGGGAGCTTCATATATCACTTCTTGAGAAGCGCCCCACGCTTTTTTTTAAATAATACCATTTATTGTTTATTTTAAACAATTTAAATTAAATTGATTTCCAATGTTGTAAAGGTTAAATTAGTTTCCACGCGGTTTCTTTCATCATTGGAGCGTGTTTTTTAGTTTTTTTTAAACTATATTTATTTTTTATTTTTTAGTTTCATTTATCACCGATTGATAGATGTACTCATATTATTAATTATTAATATTTCATTATTATGTATTTTATTGTGCTGAACTGAGCGCCTATATAAAGGTTTTGATTACCTGTCAGTGAGTCAGTGCCAAAATTAGCTATTTTCACAGGGTCACATTTCAGGATCTACTGAAGCTTTATCTATGAAATTTGGCATACTGCTTTAGTACTAGTATATGATTACATAGGTACAATTTTATCTCTGTACTTGCAATAGGCACTGAGCTACGGGGGGTCAAAAGTGGGTCGAAACGGTTCGTGTAAATAGTGCACGGCATGCGCGCGGCCTGTGGAACTTGGCCGGCGCACTACCGTGCGCTTAGATGTATACTCGTACATCTCTATAGTTGTAATATATGTTAAAATATTTTTACACTTTACTTCCACCTGCGCCTGAAAAACTGAACTCGATTTGTTGCAACTGCAAAAACTGCAGTGCTAAATGTGGTTGCAATAAAGTCAGACATGTAGGTACACATTGTCATGACCGGTTGTGCTCTAACATTGAATCACCAACACAACCAACACAAACAGTAGAGGAGCCGTTTAATGCCAACACGCAGTTTCATGCATGCATGCGTCGCTATTATATATATTATATAATATATAACGCAGTTTACATCCACTCAGGATGAAGATGAAGAAGAACAATAAGAAGATTTTGAAAATTACGACATCGGACGATTAAATTTCACTACTTTTTTTTAACTCAAATTGCTTTTATCTTTTCAATCTCTGCTAATATCCATTATTTATCAATAGTTTCAAATTAAACAAGATCAAAACTGACCCGT